AAGGAGCCCAGCCCATATATACCACCACGATGCAATTAATTAATAATGACGACGACGAATCAGTCTGTCTCTCCTTTGTCAGTCTCCCTCTCCGTCAGTCTAGTCTGTCTGTCTGTCTGTCTGTCTCTGTCTCTCCTCGTTAAGGGGATAATAATGAGCACAATACAATCCAATGAGTTAATAAATTAAAATCAATGGAGAAAAAAGAATGGAAATGATGATGCTCGTTTCCTCGGTCGGTAAAAAATTAACTTTTGAAAATAATACCTGATTTGGTATTGATCTTTAGTAGATTTCTAAATCGATCTCAATTTACCGTCTGGGAGCATAAGCAAATCTCCCTATGTCATAATTAGATGAGTATAACTGAAAAAAAAAATTTGGAACAATCATGATCCATAGAAGTGCATCTTTTTATAAAGAAAAAGGAAGTAAATATGTAGACTTGTTTGACTTCTATTACCATTATTATTATTATTATTATTATTATTACTATTACTATTGTGTATGTAGAAAGAAAATTAATTTTAAGGATAATTTTGTAGAAAAATATATATTTAAAAACTATATGTACAGACAATGAGCCAAAAACTGGTGATGATTATATTATCATTATCGTAGTATCATTATTATAATGAGGATGATAGAATGAAATATTTCAAAAAAAAATTTTTTTGCGTGTGCGAATGAATGTGTATGTTAATGTATGCGTGTATGCGTAAAGTCTCTGAGACATACAAGTTCAGCCATTCTACACACTGATCTAAAATATCTAACTTCTTGGTGTATGCGTGTATGCTATATTTTATTGTTATCGCTTAAATGCTATTTTTTTTCCTTCACAATAAAAATAATCCCCTTATCATCATCGTACCATGTAGTATGGATTTGATGGTGATGGAACATGTACAAGTGACGATGTTGATGATGACGACGATGACGACATTATTGTCGAACTCGACGATGCAAAATTAAATGGTAATAATGGTGGTGTTACATTTGAAACATGCCCTCGGTAATTTGACGTTGCACTAGGATGCAGAGGACTGGATGTTCGAGGTGGTGGCAATGCAAACTCTTTTGCCAATTCCGATGAAATTGGTGGTAACACAATATTATCCTGTGAATTTCTTCTTCCAGGTAGAATCGTCGGTGAATTTGGATTTGATGTTTGTTGCATACCAGCAACCGGCTCTACTTTAAGTCTTGTGGTTGGATCTAGGCTTCGAAGTACCGTTGATGGTGGTGGCAGTATCAGAGGACTTGCCGGTTCGATCGGAATTTGACTGCCGGTTTTTACTTGATTTGTCATGTGCTCTGCATGTGATGACGTATTCGACTTTATAGGTGAAAAACCATTGGTCGTGGAGGTTGAAGTGGCTGTTACGTCATTAGTTTCTGATTGCGGATTATTACCACTTTTGAATTTGGTTAGCTCAGCACGAATAGACTCGTTCTCCTTCTGCAGATCCTGTTACGGGAAAAAAACAAGAGGGTATGTCAATTAAATAGGAAATTATTTTGTTGATCAATTCGTGGCAAATTAAAAAAAGATGAGAATTTAGTAAAGATATTCTCTCTTTCATGCGTTACAATTCGAGGAAAATCTTTTCGCTGATTTTACGCAGACTCATATGATTTTAGCAAATCATTTAAACCGAAAAAGTATTTTAAAAGTAGTAATCGAGATCGTGGAATTGAAACAAACCTTGATATATTCTACGGCACGCCTTAGGATGCTACCCTTGTTGGGTTTAGATCCAGAGCGATAAGCAGTTGGCATAAGAAGTGAAATTTCATAAATCGTATTGTTGATATTGTTTCGTCTTTTCCGTTCCACATTATTATGATTCTCGCGCCGCCTCTTTAAACGTTCCATGGCAGTCTATTATTGGAAGTAATAAAACGGATAAATGATTAGGATATGTAGGGTTAGATCGATCTTAATTCTTGTGTCATCTATATTTAAATATGCATGTATAACGCATAAATACTATTTTTGTGTCGCTTGTCAAACTATGATAATCATTGTCACAGAGTGCCCCGATTTTCCTCTTTTCGCTATTTTTGGTAGATGCAGACAATTAACACGTGTATATTTACCTGCATATCTAGACTATTTCTGTTAATGGAGAGAAACACCAATTCAATTGTGGTGTAGGGGGGAGGGAAATAAATATTTAGTAAATAGCACATGAAAATGGTGAAAGCATGAACCCAAAAATAGCATATCTGATTATTATTATAAAAATGTTGAACAAGAGCGCGCGCGTATTGATTGTCCAATCAAAATTCAACCTACCTATTCAGAATATTGACACCATTCACACGATATTGTAATTGTTTTTTCTCCTTCGACTTTTTCTTTGACATATGTTGCGGTGCAAGATCCGAAGTAAAGTTCAAAAAAAGTGGTTGGTTACTTGGATGATCACTACTCGTGTCTTGCATTTCATCGTCACTGTCGTCCTCTTCGTCAGCCGAGGGAGAGACATCACGTGATATTGTCGCAGAAGAATCATAATAAGATTCGTGAGGGTCGAGAGAAGCAGGTTTCGTATTCAGATATAATTGCAAATGATCTTGCTTCACATTTGGAAAGAATTTATCGGATCCATCGGGCATATGAACTCGGACGTGAGTATTTTGATTGTAAGTGTTGTGTTGCCATTCGGCGATTGTGCCTCCTTGAGAGATGCAATCGGGCAAACTATGACTATGTGTATTCTGGTGGTGGGAACCTTGTTGTTCGTGTGGTAACGCGTTTGACATGTTTGTTGGCGGTGCTGGCATTCTGCTTTTGCAAGTTAAATAGCTTTTCTTTTTTTTCTTCTATTATAGTAGATAGGTTAAGGCCATACGAGGTGGGTATATGAGAGATAATAAAAGTCCCTTTCTTAGGTAGTATAAATCAAAGTTTAATCGAAGTAATCAAAAATAAGAAGAGCAAACAGTAAAAAAGTTCAGTAAATAAACCGCGAAAAGGGAATTAAAAGTAGAAAAATGACAAGAGACAATTATAAAGGGAAAAAGAGTATAAATAAAAGTCACCAACTACAATATATAATAAAATCACGATATAATAAAGTTTTTTATAAAAATTGACAAGTAGTTTTGTTTTATTTAATTTATTTATTTATTTATCTTATTGGTATGATAATATATATTAGGGTTTCAGCTGCTCGAGAAAATGGATCCAGTAGGGAGCAAATGTTACTTTAAAATATACTCCTAATATAGATTAAATAGATAATAGACATTATATTTAAAATTATTAGAACAACGACATCAGATTTTTGTATGTTTTTTCACCTGAGAAATATGACATGTTGTTACACAACTGCCGCCACCATTCATTATAAAGTTAATTAATTGTGCTGGTATTTTGTCATTTCCATAACTTTTTTCTTCGGATGGAAAAGAGTAAAAGCAAAGTGATATGATAACATTTGAATTTGTTACCTTATATGGAAAATGTTCCTTGTTTACGTCATGCGCTTTTTTATTTCCTTATTTTTTATTTTATTCTCACAAATTATATGTCAGAGATTAATGATGGATTGTTCGCACATGGACAAAGTAGTTTTTTCGTTTATCAAGAAAGTTTTTTTATATTTTGGTTATCTTTATCTATTCAACCGCCTAAAAAATATATATATATATACTTATATATATATATATATATATGCATTATTACATGATTTTCAGAAATATAGATCAAAGAATTTGTTTCATCAACTGGTTTGTTTAATATTATACACGTGAACCTTTCCGTTATATGCGTTAACATAATGTAAGATTAATTAAACCCAAAAGAGAGATCATTACCAAATTCGACTATCTTTGGGACTTTTTTTTAGAACACATACACACACATTTCGTGTTTCTCGCGTCAATTTTACTCGAAGTTTTCTGATTCGATTCCGGGCAAACGAAAAAGACATAGATGCACTTAATAGATTGATTGATCGATAACTAAGATATTATTAATGTTATGCTGAGGCTGTGCGTCTCCCAGTACATAATCAAATGTATGTGCGTATATATTTTCTCTTATTATTCATATAGATGAATATATATTTTCACGCTTTATGATCCAATTATTTCCTTTAAATAAATTAAATAAGTAATAAATTTAATAAATTCGAAAAAATTAATTAAATATGACTCATCACTCAACGATAAAATCTTTTATGTCCGAATATTAATTGTGATGGTGTAATCATTATTGATTTTATCATGCGCAGGAAAAAATAATATATGGAGATTACATATTTATAAATAAACAGTATACACGGTAAATAAACAAATCAAGAAAAATCCAAGCCCCGAAAAAACGAGGGGCGAGAGAAGCAGAATTAATAATGAAAAATAATAATCAAGTTGATCTCAACTGATAGAGTATAAACATGTGCTGTTATTTTTTTGTGTTTCAATTACGAGTTACGCAGTAGTCATCATATTCCTCGGGGTTGTTGACTGGTTCTTCTTCCTTTATGGTTTAACTAGTTTTTTTTTCGTTATTAATTCTCGTTCTTGATCTCTCTTTTCCTTTGGTTTCCACGGTGATGATAATCTCGGGTTCTTCTTCGAAATCAAATGACACCAATCAATCGCTCAAAGTGAGCCTTGTCTCGCTACGATCCTTGATATCAATCAGGTAAATCTTTTTTAAGAGATAAATTTAGAAACAACGGGTTGTGTGTTATGTGCGCTCTGCTTATTATTGTGTTTCCTTATTGTGAACTTTTATTATATTGTGCACTTCTTTTTCGCTGGTGGTACTTCATTTTCTCCTCTTTATTATCATATTTTGGTTCTCATTCTCTTGTTTCTTGTCTGTTTCGCACAACAAATAATGATGTAAAAACGGCTTTTGAATCATCATCAAGGTTGTCGTCACGAAAACCCACAGAGCAGCAACGAGGAAGAGGAAGAGCGTCCAACACACAAGCACAAAACAAAACAAATGCGGAGTTTTGTTGTTTGTGTATACCTTAAAAAATGCAAAATCACATTCACACTCATTCACAACGGAAAACGACAGCGTGGGACATTTGCCATTTTAGTTTATTTTCACAAGGATTTGATGTACTTTCGAATGAAAATGCAAAAAAAACCACGTCTATGATGATAATAAAATTTACTGTGTCGATCTATTTTTCCTTTTCCATTGCACATGTTTATCGATTATCCATCCATGCACGATATCGTAGTATTATTGAAGCGTTTGCGGAAATTCAATAGATTTTTACCCAATATTCTAATATAAAATACCTTTACCCTATATATTTGATAAAGTATATATAAATTACAGATTCATATTCATTTATATGTAATAATATGTGTAATATGAAAATGATTACGCATTCAATCGTTAACAGGGACATCAAACATCAAATGCTATTAATTAGTTTGATTGGTATTTTCATGATCTATAATAGGAAAGATGTACAGGAAAAAAAGTTCCAACGAAAAACAACGTTGCGTCAAAGTAGTCATTCATTAAGGGACAATAGCAAATAAAAAGGATCGGACAGAAAAAATCGATAGTTTTAAGATTAAGGTTTAGGCAAAAAAAGGGATAAGATGAAAAAAGACATGAGACAAAACTAAAGAGTGAGAACGATGAGTCAGAGAATGAATGCCAAAAAAAAAGCACAAAGTAAAAACATCATCATTGTTGAAAAAGGAAATAATATATCATCATTGTGCATCAGACGCATGGCGACTGGTAACATAACAAATAATAGAGATGATAAATATAGGGTATTACTGCAGCAAGTGAACTAATGTCCACAAAAGATTTCAGGGATCATAGTCAAACATTACGATGGTACTACCGCTACTTTTCGATACAGCGTGATTGTGAGTTTAATTTTTTATATAGAATAATTGGGATAATCAATCACAAATAATATTGGTTTGACTTTTTTGGTTAAATAAATCATCTTTCTTTGGGAAAGAGTCAAGTTGAAAAAAATAATATCAAATGCCAAGTAAAATGATTATCTTTGCTAAGCGATATTTTGCTTTTCTTAATAAAAAAGTATAGTATTTAGAAATAAATTGTTTGCTGATCGCTTGTGGCGCTATATTCACTTTGTAAGCATGCTTTCATATAATGCAATTTGAGTATAGACTTTTAATGTAATGCTGCACAAATTTTGATGTTGTACTTGGCTGTACACAGACATGCTAACTAAAGATAAATGTATTAAGACACGTTTTTTGTACACTTTATTTGAATCTTATCAAGATTAAAATGATGGGGCATACATGTATTTAGTTTCATTCGTGGCGTGACGATCCAGAGAACCAATCATCACCATTTCTTTTGTTGTTGAACGTTGCGCTATTGCATTATTTTATGCATTCGCGTGTGAAAGTGTAATCGTGCTAATTAATGCAACAGAAAGAACAATAGCACTATTTGATTGAATAATATATCTATTACATGTGACATTTGTAATTGATATAAAAAGAAGTCATTTTCACGATTTGTCTATCGCTAAACTTTAAAATTTCATACGATTAACGTTAACTACAATATAGAATGCATATATTATAATTACGTACTTCAAGGAATGATTTATTTGAAATTCCGATTATCTAACTAATAAACAATATGTATTTTCTTTTCTAAAATAAAATGTTCTTTTTGAAGTTTTATTAATAAACATGATTATTTTCTAGTTAAATGAAACTAAACAAAATAAATAATTTTCTTATATTATTATATTATAATTATTTATATTTGAATAAGATGACTTAGATAATTATAATTTACTTTATTATATAAGATATTAGAAAATTTATATTTATTAAATAAGATTATATATAAGCAAAATAATTTTAATAATAAAAACAAGAAAGTTATTAAAAAAAATAGATTATAATTTTTATTTTTATTAAATATAAAAATGAAATAATATTATATTTATTTATTTCTTATGAAATTTAAATTAATTCATTTTTATTTCTTATAAATAATTTAAATATATATTTTTTATTAATTAATTTTTATATATTAAAAATTCATCATTAACATTAATCATATTAATCATAAATTTTGCATTAAAAATTTTAATCAATATTAATAAATAAGAATTAATTTTTTTGTAATATAAATTTTAAATAAAGAATTAATTAATCTTTTTATATTATAAATTCTTTATTAATATTAATTATAAATTAATTGAATTATAAATTTTTTATTAATATTAAATTAATTAATTTTTTTATATTATAAATTTTTTAAAATTTATTCAAGATATTTTATTTAATAAAAAAATATATAAATTTTTATTTGAAAATAATATATAAATTTTAATAAATATTTATATTATAATTTAAATTAAATTATAAAATAAGTTTTATAATAATATTTTAAATCAATTTAAATTTGATTTAAGTTTAAATTTAAATTAAATTCAAATTTAAATTTAGAAAAAAATTTAAATTTAAATTAAATTTAAGTTTAATTTGAAATTAATTTCAAGTATAATAATAAAAATACTAATTTTAATTAATAAGTATTTTTTAAATTATAGATTTAAATATACAAATTTGTATGCTTAAACTAGTAAGAAAAAAATAATAATAAAAAAAATTTTTTTATATAAATTTTATTTAAATTGGCTAAAATGAATTTTCAAGACTTGTATCATATAGTATATTTCAAAAAAATAATATAGTACATAACATATAATCCGGATCAGGAGTATTAATCATGTAATATAAATAAATATCACATTATAACTCTAAAGTAAAATTACTTTTTTTAAATACTA